TCTTTTTTTAATAATTATGAGACACAATAGCATTAACAAATAAATTTTCCATCTGTTGTGAGACTTCTTTTTCCTGGGGATACTACACAATCCTTATTCACTTTTGAGGTTCTAGTGTTGAGCCAATGTTTGATTAAAGTTTTACTTGGGAACCAATGAGTTTATTGAGCTTACTTACAGAGATAACTGAGGGGTTGCTGAGGTGTATGTACAACCTGAGGGTATGCACACTGGAAAGCCTTTACCCAGCATGGGTCATACCTAGAAAAGGTAACTCTTACATGCAGCTGCTTTAGTTATAAATGGACAAAGCTGTGAATAAAATCTGCCACCTCTGGTAAATTTAAACTTGGATTCCCTGTGACTCAATAGTGTTGATTTCCAGAATGTAATTTAAGTCACCTTTTGGAATGAAGCATTAGGATATATGTTCAAATGTCTTCACAGAAGCCATGTTTCCATACCCTCCATTCACAACGGAAAGTTAAATAAATTGTGCTGTATTCAGACAATGGCAGAGCATTTTATGACAGTCAATCATCTGCAACCCAAGTGAATGAATTTGAAAAACTGTAAAGCTAATTTTTAAAAGCCTTTGAAAAATATAAACAGTATGGTTTGATTTATATAATATGCAAAAAGCATGTAGACCCCAAAGCAGGTTTCTTTGGGGGGAGTTAAGTAGTTACACAGTAAAAGTCCTTAAAAAAAAATCCACGTTGTTTAAGAATTTGCAAAGCTGATGGGAAGACGGAGCCAGGGAAAGGCACTGACAGGTGTCATCCCCAGTACCAGCTAATCCATTCATTCTGCTGTGTGTGTGCATACATCCTTTATAGAGAGAACACAAGTCATAAGAAACATTGGGCAGAGGGGGAGAGACTATGAGCCTAGGGGTGGGGAAAAGGTTGCCCTGGAAGCTAGGAAAGGCCTGTCAGCTGTGGCAGCTGTTGCTAGGCAGCGAGGATGTAGAGCAAGGACAGAGAAGACAGCTAGGGCCCGGGAGGTTGCTGGAGGCTTCAGTGACTGCAGCAGAAAACAGTGGCTCAGGAGAGATCGTGCCAGAGCCACAGGAGGCTTTGCAGGTGCTGTGGGCCTAAGGAAGAAAAGGGCTGTAGCTGAGGAAAAGATGATTCAGAGGCCATTTGTAAGCTGTAGTCCGGACTAGACATAGATAACACTGAAAATGTCAAAATAGAAATCTGAGTACACGAAAAAAATCGGTATTGTTCCAAGAAAATGTCTCCTGGAGAGCCCTCGAATTAAATCATGGGGGCGGGGATTTTAATGTTTCAAGTAATTATTTAATCGAATTTCTAATATTTCACCACATGCTTTAATCCCAGCACCAGGGAAACCAGTCTACATAGCAAGTTCCAGGCCAGCTGGATCTACAGGGAAACCATGTCTGAAAACAACAACAAAAAAGATTCTATTCAAATGTTCTTGCTCCTCTTTAATTACCATGAATCAGACCAATTTTGCATCTTAGTGTACAAGCGACCTCTGCTGTGGGTGCTTTGCTCCTTTGCTTTACCTATTGAGCAGCCTTTACCCTCATGGTAAGGAGTTGCAGGAAACGTTAATGACTAGCTGAAATTATTATAACCCCTGCCTGGTCATACATGTGACTATTCTATTAGGAAAGGAATGCTAATCTTAAAACTGCAAACAGGGTTTGCAACTTGAGGTTTCCATAAGAATGCCTTGGCTGGTGCAGAAGTTGCTACCAGCAGTAAGAGACTCCATCTGTCAGAGAGATAAGTGTCATCTCAGGAGAGCAGCGTGGGGGTGGGGCGGTCACTTATTTAACAACAGGCAAAGTTTCAAAAACTCCAAGCTGTACCAGTATGTTCAATAAATTCTTCCACCACTGACACCAAAGGAGAGTTTGAAAACATACTGCATTTCTATTTTTTCTTCTTGAGATATATGTTTTTGCTGTTTCTATAGCAACACTGATGCAGTGACTAAAATTTTAACTCCTTTTTAGACTCCCAGATGGCTTCACGCAGCTTCTAAACCTGACCCAGCTCTACCTGAATGATGCCTTCCTTGAATTTCTTCCAGCCAATTTTGGAAGGTAAGGCTAAGATCCAGTCTCACTTCCCCAGGGCATGAGTGAGAGTAAGGGTTAGGGTTAGGCTCATTGATACAAGATAAAAACTATTAATTAAACTTTCTGTAATAATTAACATAAAATTTGGTCTCCACATAGTGTTGGACAATCAAATAAATTTTTGGTTTAAAGTTAAATATAAAAAAGAAAAACAAAATAATCTGAAAAAATACAGGTGAATGTTCATGGCCCTTGGGAGATGGGGAAGCAAAGGACAGCATCATAAATGAATAGAGAGATGACCATCTAAATGCTTTTCAAACAGAATAAGTCATAAACATAAAAGTTAAGGTAGAGCAAGAAACTAGCAAATGTTTTCATTATATGTATGAAAAATGAACAACCTGTCCTTAACATACAAAGGACCCCTTAGGAATGAGCTCAAAAACCGAGTCCCTGGGGAAGTGTGTACATGGCACACAGGCAACTGGGGATAAACAGATTGCGGAGATGTGTCTGTCTCCAGTGCTGAACACACCACAGGCCAAAATGGAAGAAAAGGGACTTCACTTGCCCTGGCTTCTTCTGAGACCAGCTCAGAGCGTTTGAGATCAGAGATCACATGATTAAGGAGCTCCAAAAATAGTGGAAGCCACTGCCTTGAATTTCTTTTCTATGAATGCCTCATGCCATCATCAGATGTTATGGGCAAATATGTTTTTTTATTACTGACAAAATGAAGAAAGGGAAATCACATTTCTGTCTAGGGGATTAATTAAATAAACTGTGCTGCATTGCTATGACAATCCTGAGCAGAAATTAATAATTTTATAGGAAAATATTCTTTAAACTAGATAAGTCTAAGGAAGTATTATAACAAAAATATATAAAGTGGTTTTCCAATATGTATACACATGTATGAAATTCTAAAATTATAGGCAACTTTGATTTCATCATATTTTATTTCAGTATCTTCCAAATGTATTTTCTTGTGGAAAACACATATCATAAAAAGTGAAGCCATTCGGACTTCATTGTGAACTATAGTTGACCGTCTTTGAAATTGTTCCAATAACAGACTGGGCATCATTCCACACATACCTGTTGACAAGGGTGAGGAGGCAATCAGGAGGAATGCATGCAGTAAAAAGTCACTTAGCACACAGCGACCTCTGCACACTGCAAGTACAGTAACATTCCCAGACTTCTTCACATTGTGCATGAAGGTGCTGTAGCACTGGTGATCCGTACATACTGGGAGACCTTTAGTGTCATGGATTTGTAGAGGAGCATTTCCCCAGGTCCAGATGTGCTTCAGAATAGAATCATCCTTCTGGTATTGACTAAGGACCGCAGTATGCTTTTGAATTAACAAATTATGAAATATTCATGATATCCTAGGACATTTTTTCTCTTGAATTTTTTTTATTTCTCTTTAAGTAGACCTAAAATGAGGGAGAAATTTGGACCTACAGTACACATAATTCTAATACCTAACCTACTTTGAATTAGAACTTGAGTTTTATACAAATTGCCAAACTATGCTCTATAATATTACTATAATCTAAGAAATTTTTCAGTCTTCAGCTAGGTGGTTTATCGAAAGGGTGTTTAGAAGTTCTCCAGTCTGAAATTCCATACTCTTAGAAGGCTGAGTCAGTCTGACCGTATCTCATGTTAACACAGTTGTTGGAACTGAGACATTCAGATGTCTAAGAGACTCTTGCTGAGGGCACGCCCACACTAAAGCACTGTGTTTCACAAAGAAGTGAGTGACATCGGAATTAAATTGAGAACTTGGGAAGAGGAAAACAAAGGGAAGGAGACCTAGATAAGTTTCTAAAAGCCATTAAACATAGACTCTAAGTGAAGTAGTTTAAATACTGAGGCATTCCTAACACATTAAGAATTCAGAAAATCCAGTTCGTATCTGTCCTAAAAGCAGCTTCCTGGGAGAACAAACATACAGCTCACTGCACACATGTATGACCATAGTATGTTCCTGATGGCTAGCCTTCATGTAGAAGTGTGAGATGCACTCCTGGATCACATCCACACACAAGCATCAAGAATGAAAGCTCACATCCTCAGCATCTTCGTCCCCAACACTGTCACAGGCAGAAGGTGCCTCAAGTGTCCAAACACATGCCCTTCCAGAAATGGTAAAATGTGAACCTGAGAATGAACAAACGCAATACCCACTGGGTCCTTAACAAAAGTAACTGTGCAATGCATGTGACATCATTTAATAAACTTAGTATTGTTATTATACGCTTATTGATGAGGAAATTAAAGTTAGAAGGGGTTAATTAACTTGCATAATGTCATGGACAGAGTCTGATAGAGTTTAGAATTTAGGTTTCACTCGTCTATTTTATATCAAGTTGAAGTTCTCCCCTTCCCTGTTCTGTCTGCCTGTCAAGTCCATCTGTGGTCTCTTGAAGAAAAGTATCGCTGTATGCCAATGAACATAACACCTGGAATTTAGTATAAATTCAAGGTTCTAGTGAGTACACAAGCTCATTGAACATAACAGTGAATGGGTCTGGAGAACTGGCTCAACAGTTAAGAGTCCTGGCTGCTCTTGCAGAGGACCCAGGTTCAGTTTCCAGCACCCACATGGCGGCTAACAACTGTCCCATCACTCCAGTTCCAGGGGAATCCAACACCCTCTTCTGGCATCCACAGATACTACATGTACTTGATGTACCTACATCCACATAGGCAAAACACTCATACACATAAAATAAAAATCAATTTAGAGTGTATATAAGTCAATGTATTTTAATAAGACATTAGAAACTTGGAAGGCTGGAATTCAAAGGTATCTTCAAAAATCTTTATTTTTAGGAACGTTTTTATGATTGGGCAGTGTTGCAGCCTACTCATCAGTTCACGGTTCTCTAAAACCTGAAAACAGCTGAGCACCACTATCTGTTTAATGGTGGTGACAGTTCACTCGACCATGTGAATATTTTCTCCATGGAAACAGTGAGGAGTAATTTTTTAAAATTCTTTCCTACAGACTTGTCAAATTGCGAATTTTGGAGTTAAGAGAAAACCACTTGAAAACTCTACCAAAGTAAGTGATGGCATATTTTCTAAAGTTTGAATTGTGGTTTTTCACCACTTGGAAAACTGACAACTGGCCTTCCTTCTGGTGGTGTCGCCATTGGCTGAATTGTTCTACAGATTGTTATTAAATGCCAAACACTATGGCAGACCATATGAGACTCATACTATACAGGGACACGTCCTGTCTTGCAAACCTGCACATGGACAGAGGTTTTCCTCATGGCTGAAGAGCCTTGCCAAGAATCTGTGGCGCTGACGGTCCTGGCATTCCCACAGTAGGGAGATGGTTCCTCAGGGTGCAGCCTGGAAGGGTGCTGCATTCTGCAGCTTATTATGGGTTGTGATAGTTCTCGGTTCTTAAATCAAGAATACCAGAAAATTTTAGGGAAAAAAAGATGAAAATTTTTCAAGAGATGCCCATAGTTTGCCGAGGGAAGGGAATCAAAGGGAAAGCTGTGTCCATGTGTTCTTAGAAGCTGCTCCTTTTTATCGGTCTGTTTGAAGTTGGTTTATATAAGTACGTAGTCCGTCTTAAACACAAGCGAGCTTTACTCAGTTTATTAAGACGCTTTGTTTCAGCTACTCTTGCTTTATTCATCTGTGCTCATAGGAATTTCTGCTATACAGGAACAATTATTTTCCAAAACCATTTTTACTCAAGTAAATTAATAGTATTTGTGTGAATTGTGAATAAAATGGTACTCACTACTACCATAATTTTCCTTCAGTGTCATAAAAGGATATCAAGTATGTTGATTAATGGTTTTCCAAACATTTTAGCAGGACTTACTCTTATTCCTCTTCTGAACTAAGACTTAATTTTTCCTTTTTAAATCCATTCCCTGAGCAAGTGAGTCTGAACATGCCAATAGAAGAACTTCAGGTGCAATTGCATGTGACACAACACATGAACATTTCATCACTGCTATGTCATGGCATGAATCCGATGGTTTCCAACATGCTATGGAATCTACTACACATGGAAAGAATACACCTGTGCGTTTTTCACTCTCTCAAGAGAGAGCTTCCAAAGGAGGCATGTGCTCTGGGACTCAGCATCCTGTATGAGCAGTGCCTTTCCTGTCCTGGAAGCCTGACAAAGATGGAGTGTGTTGATCTGCACAGGCAGCTGGTGCCAGTGGCTAAGTGGACAGCAAACCACGATGAAAAGAAGCAGTGACTCTCCACTGTGAATGCACACATCAATTCAAAGAGAAAATGGAGTATGCATGGAGAGATGAGGCAGAGAGCCTGGAATAAGGGCTTAGACTTAAAATGCAAGATAAACCTGACACAGGACATCAGGATTTGGGTATTTTTTAATATTGAGTTGCAATCTAAAATACACTGATAATAGGGAATAGAAAAACATCATAAAGTCTCTTAGCAATGGGCACTGGGTGTCTTTGGCAGATTACTGTGCATGTTCCTGTCACTACTGTAGCTTTTATATTTTAAGGAACATTTTCATAGTTATTTGCAATTTAGAATGTTTGTTTTATACCATGTCAACAAAACCCTAAAGAGCAAAATAGAGACATGGAATATATGGACAGTGTTTCTTTGGTCTTGATGCCTATAGAATGAAAACTACATGAAGTATTTTCGCTGTATGTCTTTGATCACCAATTCAGACCCGTGACTTTGAGGTAGATAAGCATTTCTACATTCCTATATTTTGCACTTCCAGTGAATGAAAAATGTGGTTTTAGGAAAAACAATTTTAGTTTCATAGTAACTACTCTGAGAACAGCGAACATATGATTTCCTTGGGGACACGGAAAGATGAGGAGCCTTTAGTAGGTCTTTAATGATCTTATTTTGTCCTAAAGACTACATATGCCTGGCAATCTGTGCACGATGTCTAAGTATGGAAGAATACAATATGATATACATAAAACGCATTCCTTTAGAAAACTGATTTGATGTGTGCAGGCTCTAAGATCAGCACTCACTTAAAAATGCAAAGCTTTTATCAGTCCCTTTACAGTAACCCTTTGTGATTATCCTCTGAGTCTATGAAGGTGATGAAAGTTAAGCCCTCAGACATTTGCTTAGAAACTCACTGAAGTGGTCAGGTGTCCATGGGGTGTGGAAACAGAGGACGCTGAACATCTGAACATGATATAATATATAATATATAATATATAATATATACTATAGTGTACATGAATTTAGGTGGGGGATAGTTTGGGAGTTACAGATGGAAAGAGGATCTAAATTTGATCAAAACATATTGTATGAGATTCACAAAAATTCAATTTAAAAAAACCATACAAAGATAAAAACAAAGCCAGGTATGGTGGTGCACAATTTTAATCCTAGCCCCCCCTCCCTCCCTCCTGCCTCCCCTCCCTCCCTTCCTTCCTTCCTTCATTTCTGGGAGTCACAACTGGAAGAGAGCAGATTCTGGGTGGTTCAGGGCATCTCCAGCCATCAGCTCCGAGCTGCAGGCTGCAGGCTCACAGAGCTTTTGCTGTCTGGGATCTGCGTCTGGTCAGGGTGCTTGGCAGGTGTGCTTATGACTGGGTGAGAGACTTTGTTCTTAACCACATAAGGTGCTCGCGACTTGCAGCAGTTGCTGCTGGTTTCCCCTAGAACAGGTGGTTGTGGAGAGAAAGGAGCGGGGAGGCCTTGGCCTTTGTATGATTTGATCTCAGAAATGGTCCGTGACCTTCTGCCATGTGCCGAGCTCTCAGAGTCCAGTGCACTGGAGAAGAACATGAGTGTGAAGCCAGGCCTCTGTAGGGACCATACACCGGGTGTCTGTGCTGGCATGGCAAGAGTTTCCTGTTTTGTTGCTGGACTCTTTTGTGCCTACAACATGGTGGACACTCAATAAACAGACAGTGTGCTGACCTACACAATCACAGTGAAGAATGTTTGCTGTATAAACCGAACGTTGGGGTCCCCTGTCTCTTTAACCACATAGAAAGGTAGATAGGAAGCTGAGGGCATCAAAGGAGTCTCTGGTGAGTTTTGCAAAGCCAGAAAATAAATGAGCAACAGTTCTCAGTGACTGACAAGAGTGAGGGCCTGGGTTTGAATTTTAATCTCTCCCTTTGCCCCCCACTTCACATGTAATACTAGTTCAGTCATGACAGAGGAAAAGAATATTTTCAAATCTATGAAATTAATATCTAAATCATTAAAGAAAGTGCAGAACTAATGTAATTTGTTTATTCATTTTTTTTCTCAAAACAACATTGTCAATAAACAAAGTATAGATCAAGAACAAAACCAACTATGAAAATCTAGGAACAATCCTTAAAGTAACATAATGGTTTTAAATAAATGGTTAATAATAATTCTGGGTTTTATCTTTAAACAAAACCATTCCATGTTTATGAAAAATTTTCTAATATCTTTACATTAAAAAGACAAAAGATTTATATGATCAGAAGAGGAATTCGATTATATCATCAAGTTAAAATGAAGCCTTATCTATTAATAATTCATTAAGACTGGTATTAGCTTTAATTTGAGTGAAAATTCCTTATGAAATATATGTGTGATAATTATGA